TCTCGTAAGTTATACGTTTAGTGGAACTCACGAAGTGTTTTCAAATTTTTAATACGTTTTATAAATCTAAAAAACAGCTTATAATAAAGGCAATGCAAAAATAGAACTCTCTTCATTGTTCAGTCACGTCACATAGGTACTGTAATGTATATCATAAAAACGTTCAGTTGCATTCAAGTATCATAACAATATTCTTGATTTTGAAATTGTTTAAAAAATACAGATTCCTAAAGTTGGCAATTTTCACCGATTTTTACGAAAACTACCATCACAAATGAATTTGTATCACAGTAACTATTAAAGATATGAACTTGATTCTTCTTTCATTTTGATCGTAAAGGATCGTTCTTTGTAATTCAATTTTTGTTTTGTTCGTAACTTCATTATGTCCGTATACTCTGATTTCTTCTCTTTAAAATCTATTTCTTTCACTCGCGAGCACTCTAAAATTGTAATCGCAGCAGGCCGACAAAGATCGCGGCGCAGGCGATTGAGGTATGTAAGCGCGCCGCAAGGCGCAGTGGAACAAACTACTCTTTTTTGTGTAAAAATCATAATACTTTGATAAAAATAAGGTAGAGCGGTCTTTTTCGAGGTTAAAGGTAAGATGTTGGCCGGATGCCGCGACATTTGTCGGCCTGCTGCGACTACAATTTTAGAGTACCTGCGAATTAAAAAAATGGATTTTAAAGAGAAAAGATCAGAGAATACGAACATTTGTTTTCAATTTTTTTAAATTTGCGACCTAGGGGTCAAATTTGCAAATGAAAAAGTTTTGGTAAATATTTAGAATAGAGGAGGCAGCTCCGACGACCTTGGTCGTGACGTATGTAATCAAGGTCACCTTCCTCAGTGACCCTCGGAAGGTTTTATCCGTCGCTCGTTTTTTATTGGAAAGTTATAAACAAAAAATGTCTGCAAAATGTAGCAGTTATTTTGATAATTAAAAGGCTCCAATGACCTCGAACTTGAAATATATTCCTAAAGTCACCTTCTTGAGAGACCTTGAGCAAATTTTTGCAGGTATTCTTCATTTGTTAAGAAGTTATTAACAAATAAATTTCACAATATGAAGGTGTTTAACTAACTCCATACTTTAACTCTTACCTAAATAGTATAAACATTTTATCATTAACATATCTGCTTCTTTAAGTTATAGTGTGGGTGGGAGAGGGGGAGCTCTAAAGTAAAAAAATCTAGCTCTAACCTGACCCGACTTCGTTTCTGATTAAATTAAAATGAGATTTGGGTTTGGTTAGAACTAGATTTTAGATATTAACGAGGGTTACCTTGACAATATATGTCAAGGTTAAGGTCATCGGAACTGCCTCCTTTATTCTACATATTTACCAAAGTTTTTAATATTTCTGCGTTGCAAAAATAAGGTTATGTACAAAACAAAATATAAATTACAAAAACCGATCATTTACGATCAAAATGAAAAAAGAATCATGTTCATATCTTTAATAGTTACTGTAATACAAATTCATTTGTAATGGTAGTTTTCGTAAAAATCGGTGAAAATGACTAAATTTGAGGGTCTGTATTTTTTAAACAACTTCGAAATCAGCAAAATGATGGCTTAACCCCTTCCTATTTTCACGTGCAGTATAACATATTGCAATTTAAGCCAAATCCCAGATATCGTCTACAGAAGTGATCCACTTGGCGTGGAATGACCCGACACTGCCATACGTCATCTGCAAATTTACAAGGTTTGAAAAAGTCGGAATTGTTTTGATATCAAAAGTTTCCTTGTTAGTGATCCATTGGTACATACACAGCTGAAAATCTCGAATATCTAACACTGCATACATTAATTATTCATACACTTAAGTTTCGTATAATATACCTATATATTGGACGGTGCAGAAACAATAAAATGTTAAAAAACTTATACATATATAATATAAGTATCTACGAAATTACTTTAGTAAAGTTATTACATGTAGATATATTTTTACCCACTGTATATGTTGCTTGAAGTATTTTGAATGTAGAATTCTGAAATATAATAATGTAATATAATATGTGGTTATTATTAAAGTTTAAACTTATAGATAAAATATGTGTACACAGTAAATAATAGCTATCTTTAATCACTATATAAAAATGACAAAAATTATATTTCTCTTTAGTGTATTTTATTTTAAATAACTGTAAATAGGAACAATTAAAATTCGAATCGATAAAATACTAGTTATACAAAATGGAAATTATCAAAACACAACGAAGATGGCTTTTTTGGACTTTTCATTAGATGATGCTATCACGTACAGCAAGAGACAAAAGTATTCGTACAGTAAGAATGTGGACGGAAAAAAGAGCGACACAATAAAAAAAGTATTTGTATGAGTCCATTTTTTCAAAACAATTTTAAAGATTCTTCTATTTTGATATAAATATTTCGATAACATTACTCCGCCTGGAATTGTAGTAACGTATCAAATAACGCCTTTCATAATTTTATCTTATATTTTGTTCTCTTCAATATAATAAGAGATTCGAGTGTGCAAGTATTTTTTCTATTCAGTGCAAATTTTTGTAATACTAATTAAACGTGCACATTCGTATGTTATACATGTGCGCAGACATTAATAGTGGCAATATAAAGAAACAAAATTAAATACGCTAATAATGTTTCCGTATAATATGTGTTTTACATGTTATGTGTATAAATTGTTACTGGTTCTTCGGTGGGCACATAGCTGAGAGTATTCTAGTTTAGACGAAGAGTTTTTAAGGTGATTTTTAATAATATTTTCGGGAAGAACGCATTAAAGTCACATCATTTCTATTTTGTAGATATCTATATAATCTATTTAATACAACATTATGATTTATTATCAATAATACTATAGACGCTATTATTATGCTATATGCTTTATTTAAAAAAGAAGTTCTTCTTAAACGGCGACATTATTTCAGTTTCTCCCATTTATCTGATATAAGTACAAATGATTGAAAGTTTATTTTAATCTCTATGAATGCAATTATGTTCGAAACAATAAATAACACGCAAAATAATAACTAACAAAATGGCGCCAGTTACAAAAGTGACATTGCAAATATATTATCATATTCATTCTATATAGAAGTGAAAGAACTTAAGATATGAATTCGCACGTGATAGGGAAAACAGTGAAATATAATTTCAAAGTTGTGTGTAAATGCGCGAATGTGGGTTCAACATTTTATGAAATATATATCTTGCCAGATTAAAGAATATTTACCAATATGTATTAATATTGACTTAAAAATATCATTTTAAAATTTTAAAAGGAGAAGCAATTCAACGAAAAGTTTAGATAACACCTTTACAAAACTTTAAATGCTCGAAACATACAAAAATCGGTTTATATGACATTATAAACCTAGATTATCCCATGTATACTTTTCTGGTCTATTTAGGCTCTCTAATTTTAGTGCTTATTGGAAACATGTCTGTTAATTTTTATGTAAATAAATATTAATAACAACATTGTTACGTTATGCTACTCGGGCTTTCACATGGTATAATTCACAATTGCTATTTGCTACTATGATCGTGAAATGTATTAAAGGTTCGTAACCGTTAACTACTGATTCTAAACAGTCTACTGAATGATCACTGGTAGGTAAAATTTTATGATCTCCATTTTACACCATGCCGTAAATGTGTTTACGACACGTCGCGTATGTATTCTACGTATAATATGTCGTTTTTGAGTCCATTTTGTATGTGTCATTTGTCGCAAATGTCGTAAATAGAGATATTAATTATTTCAACGTTTAAACAATTAAAGCAGAAAAACTGTTTAAAAAATAAGAGAAAACAATACATATCTCCTTTCGTATGTAATGTTACACATGTAATATTGTAGGTGTAATATTAAACATACAATATTAAACACGAAATATATCTTGAAATTAACTTTTATTATACAAGTAAATTATTCGTGATTGCCAAAAAATGGGTGGTAGGAAAGAACATAATCAATATGAACCTTTGGTGTTCATTAAGAGAAAGAATGAAAAAGGCGAAAATGTAGCGTTTTTCACAGTATGTAATCGTGATATTGGAAATACAGCTGTGAAAAGATTAGAACCACATAAAAGAGTCTGCAATAAAAAAAATGGAAATTTTTCAATCGAGTAAATAAATATTTGTATGATAAGATTAATAATTGATTTAAGTATGGTAAGTTGCAGTACAGTGTGTACAGATGAGACTGAAAATGTTTATGAAAAGAATATTAATATCAATAATGTAAAGCTATCAGTAGTAATGAAATTAATTAATTTACAACTTCACTCAGAACCTCCTCCAGTTTCCCTTATTGTACTAAAGTTCTAAGAGTCCAGGAAAGGTGTTTGGCCACTTGTAAGTAGCCACAACAGTTTTACTATTAACTGTGAAATTTTTCCAGCCATCAATTAGTAATACTAATTCATCTTACCTTGTAGAATTAACAAGCTCATCATATTGTGCATCCAAAATTATTGTTGACAGTGCCTTCCTTTTAGGAATCAATTACACTAAAAGGGATATTATATAAAAAAAGAAATTTGGTAGTAACTGATCAATCTTACTTCGTCCGAAATAAAAATAAATTTTTTATTAACATAATATTCAATCTAAACGAATTACATTTATTATTCTATACCCATTTTTTCAGTAACCTTTCAATATCCATTTTTCATGAATGTAACCGAATGTAATTTAATTGTTTTTAATCGGAGTTATAATTGTTAATAAATTGACACTTCTTTATAACCTATACGAAAAACATTTTATAGTTTAGAAACACGTTATAGATATTTAAGGCACGTGTCACGTATAAAATAAAAAATTTGCGTATTTAACCACCTCTACCACCGTGTAATACGATGTGGCGGGGGAATCAGCTAGTTGGCAGGGGAATGACAACGAGCCGGACGACACCGAGCGAAGTAAGAGAGCGGACAAGGCTTTATAAATCGCGAGGATGTTCTCCGGTGTCGAATCAGTGACACATCGACCGCGATCGATCCTACTGCAATCGGTCGCCGTGAAGTTCGATCGATCGCTAGAAGGTCGTGCGATAAACGTGTTCGTGTAGTGCTGAGTTTTATTCTAATGAAGAGGGTTTTTTGCTCTCATTAAACACAGAAGAATACCTAAATATAACGGGAAAAATACAATAGAATACCTACTTTAAGGCAACGGAAAAGCGTCGAGCGGAAGTTTCGCGGATGCAAGCTATCACGGGGCGACAGAAAGGATCGATACATCTGTTACCAGCGCAGCGCTTCGATTGAAATGTGAGTGATGGCGTTACGTACTTACCTATTGAGAAATCAAATAGCCTAAAATGCATCTGCGTTGTTCTCATTGAAAGGTGTTTTACTTTTAACACTTCACGTACCAGGTGTTATCTATTATTATAAATTTGTTGAACGTATAAAACTTGTGTAAGGGGATAGGTATATATTTTTGTGAGTACAACGATATTATTTATAATATATAATACATGTTACACAAGTATTATATTTATACAGATATATATACGTAAATGAATTATATGTACATATAAGTGACATGGAACGTTCATTCTTTTCTAAGGCAGTTTGTAATTAACATGGTTCTGTTATATATCCTCCACTATCATTCATGAACAGTGTTAGTTACGCATGTTTTCTCTAGAAATATATGATTCTAGAGTATTTCATTTCTTTCGAAGCAAATGGAAATATCTTACGTTTTAACTTACAATTAGTCCGATCACGAAGTGACTATGGATATTTGAGAATCTTGAAATTAGGATGTTTCTTAAAAATATTGCTTTCAATTCGTTAGGAAATATTCGTACTTAAGAAGTAATATATTTCGTAAATAGCACTTCGTGAAGTACATAAGTTGAGTCGGAATTAAACAGAATTTATTTGTTACTTCATTTGAAGACGCGTTCAGTTATTGTTTGGTTTAAGTGGGAATAACTGATTGCATAACGCACAGTGTGCTATATTCATATTATTTTGTTTGATACATGCATGATAATTAAAGTCTCCACTGTGTTGCTTTAATGTGTAGGCACAAACTGAAATTAATGGCATCTGAATTTTTCAGGATGATCGAAGAACGAATAAAAAAATTGTATTTATAAAATATGATACTTCTTCTACTTCCTTTCATTATTTTTATTTGTTATTTTAACGAAAGTTCAACATTCTTAAGTACGATCAGATCAAATATTCGCATTTCTGTTCTATTTGAATGTTGAATTTCTAATTTCATCGAATCATTAAAAACATTATTCTAATGTTCTTATTATACGCTATTATATATGCTATTTCTCTTTTCTTTTTGCTGATTCCATTTCAGTCAGGGTTAGGTCAAGAAACTGGAATTGTCGCTGAGCCTTAACTGTTAATCATACATGTGATTTATTTGGCGTAATAATACATTAGTGTTCAATGAACACATTGAATGCCGGTAGTTTTTCGTATGTTTAAGCCACAGCGCCGGCGTGATGTCTTCGTTATACAGAGTGTTTAAAAATATTATAAGTTATGCATATGAAATTATTGAATTAAGCTATGTTATCATACTTCGTACATTTATGCAGTTTGCAAAGGGTTACCAGTTTATGTTCGAATATTAATGGTATCCAGAAGTATCTATGTACATATACAAATATTTTAATTAATGTTGCCGCCGATAGTCACCGATGGCCGGCACGGCATTCAACGTGTTAATAATTAAACATATATTTGATAAACACAGATGCTGTGTTTCACCTTACGTTCCTTTCAGGAATCGATACGTAACATGAATACTTCGCCACAAATAAGATTTCGCATTGTATCGAAAACTGCCGAATTAGCTCGGACAAAAGCTTTTCGATTTTATCCAGATGTATGATTTTTACGGAACAAAGATACTCCATAGGTATAACTAATTTTATAATTACCTTTTAGAAACCAGAATTTAGAACAAATTATTTTATTTATTAGGGAGTTTCGTAAATTGAAAATACAATAAGGTATTAATTTTTACGTACAAATTAAGAACGCCAGAAAGTTTAATTTAGTCTTAAAAAATAGAGGAGAGTTTCCTGATTATATGAATCCATATAGTTATTATATTTTGTAATTTTAAATGGTTGTAAATGGACGTCAAAGTTTAAAAAAAGGTCGCAGCGCGTAGTTTCTACGTAATATTTTTGCATGTTTACGAAAAGTCCTTTATCCAGCATAAATTTGGCTCACAGTATCGGATTCTGCAGACATTTTTGATGAAGAAATCACCCAGAAAAAGTACCGGAACGGCTTTGCATTCGGAGAGGTCGAGAAAATATCCGTCGGAAACGTGTGAATGGCTTTTTGCCGCCACGCGGTTATTACTCGCCTGCCTCAGCGCGTCAGGACCGTAGCTACACGTAATCGACACCGATAATACAATCTAATTCGCACCCACTTTTTATATGTATAATGTTTGATGTTTTTCATGCATTCTTGGACACTAATTGCGGAATTATGAAGAACTTTTTCATCAATTTTGATTGACGAAAATTGTGACTACCGTCCGGTTACGTCATTTTTTTAATTTTTGTTGCAGTACAGGAGAAATGAAATATATGAAGTGAAGAATTACCTGTAGTAGTAGTGAACATCTATTGGATCTCGTTAAAATTGTCTGTAGATAAACATCAGCTTTACCAAAGCCATCTTTAACGATGGTTAGAGCTTTTCGCGAACCAGTTTAAAAATGTTTCCGCCTTGCTGGACGTTTGTACGTTATATCCTCGTTGTTGCTTATGAGTGTCCAGCAATAGTCTGCAACCATTGCACACATATCCTTTCCTTGGTACCGTTTTTCCATTTTTGAAATGTCTTGGTGAAAACGTTCTCCATGTCCATCACTAACGTCACCAAGATTTTGGAAGGAAAAAGTCAAGATATGAATCTAGGAAGTACATTTTTAAGGACATGTTACAGTCAAGATTTTTACAGGATATTATAAGTTCGTTTCCTATGGAAACATAATTCTTTGATCGTTGATTATCGAAAAAATTTTGGGTTGCTTTCTTAAAAGCAAGCCACACAATTTTTTCCAAATTGCTTAATGTGTATGTAAAATTCTGATCCTTCATCAAGTCCCTGATTTGGGGACCAACAAACATGCCTTCCTTTATTTTGCATCAGATATGCATGCATGTTTTGTTTTTAGATATGTAAATCCAGGCCCTGATTTATCCATAGCCTTCACAAAATTTTTCATGATCCTTAATTTTATATGCAGCGGCGGTAAATGAACCTTTTAGGGTTCAATTAGACTACAGTGTTTTATATTTTTTTCCCCATGAATTAGTTGAGGTCGTGGTGTCCAGTCCTTTTTAACGTAATGATATTCTCTTGCTCTGCTGTGCCATTCGCAAAGTAAGCATCAGTGTTTAGTATAACACGTATGAAGACCGAGTAATAGTGGAATTACTTTTAAATCTCCACAAACGTTCCAATTGTATTGGTTATATTGAATTTTACAAAGAATGTTCTTTAGAGAATCGTAACATTCCTTTATTTTGTCTGTGTACGCAGTTGGGATGGAAGGATGTACGTTCCCAATATGTAATAGTACAACTTTTAAACATGTTTCGACGAATCTATAAACAATTGTCATTCCGTTGGATCATGTTCGTATGCTAAGGCTTTCGTTAAAGAATTTACATCACTACACACACAAAGTTCTTCGTACATACAACAGAAGTACTGTTGCAATGTATATTGCCGTGTTCTGGAATCTGTAACCTTGGTTACATTATGAAGTAAGTTTCATCCTTGAAGCAGGAATCCTAAAAGTTCCGCCTGGTCTTTCGATAGCTGTAAATCTCGTACCAGGTCGTTGAGGTCGGATTGAATTATTAAATACGGCTGTTGCGACGACGAGGGAGTTTCTGTTTCATAATTTTCAGTTTCTTTATTTTCGACTTGTTCTCTAGCATCCTAGTATACAGGATGTCCCACCTACCTTTGCCACCCTTAATTATTCTCATATTTGTCACGATACAAAAAAATATTTCGAGAAAAAGTTAGTGTATTTTAGGGGGGAAATTAGGCTATGAGATTGAAGGTCATCTCAAGGTCATATCTTTTGACATTTCCCTAATGGTAACGTTTTTTTAAATGGAATGCCCTATTTTTTTGTTGGCCATTAGAAAGAGGAGATCAAAACGTATCCAACAATGTATCACACCATGACCTTGGAATGACCTTGGGCTGAAAATTTCGCACGTAATAGATTGAGGTGGAAGCTTACAGAAAATGAATTGCAGAAACAAAACAAACGCCATAATCGCATTACTTATTATTTTAGTGTATGTTCAAAGTGTTGTCACCGCATATTGTGATACATTGTTGGATACATTTTGATCTCCTCTTTGTAATGACAAATAAAAAAATAGGGCATTCCATTTAAAAATACGTTCCCATTAAAGATATCTCAGAAGATATGACCTTGAGATGACTTTCAATCTCATAGCCTAATTTCCCCCCTAAAATACACTAACTTTCTCTCGAACCAATTCTTTGTACCGTGACAAATAAGACAATACTTAAGGGTGGAAGAGTCAGGTGGGACACCCTGTATATGTATTGGGTATAATTGACGGTAGTAGTAGTATCAGTAATTCTTCGGAATGTGCAACAGGTCGAATCACAGAAGGTACGATTGGATATTCAATTTTTTTCTCCCCTTTCTTATTAAAATCAGAGATTTTATTTAAGCAAAAATAACAGTCTGTTGTGTGATTCGTCGATACTTTCCATACCACTGGTACTGCACTTGGCATACTTCTTCGATCCCCATTTACCCAAGATAAAAGGACCGAGGCACACCACTGACAAGATAGATGCGGGGCCCAATATTTGTCTTGATCCCATCAAAAGTCAAGTTTCCATCAAAAATAATGTTCGTAAGCAAATTCTATTGAAGGAGTTATATTTCGACGTTCGGATTTTCTAACTACGTCACCAGAAACATAACAAAAGGAGTCTGGCTGACTTTTCCACTTTCGCGACATTATATTACATAACCAAAATACTATGTTACAATATATAACACGCGTAACACTAATATGTACATTTATATACTCAAAGAAATGTCTAAGTGCACTATAAAGTTTAATTTTCTCAGCATACGTTTTAATTACGATGCGAAGGAAAACTTTCTGAGCTGCTTAGTGCGACTGACTCGAACAATTTTAAAGACAAAACTGAGCTCTGATTAAGACGATCCGTAGCATTTTCAAGATATTTATTTCCTC